GTCATCTTTTGCAAAAATAATGGATGACTTGTTACTTTACGTAATATATGTATGTACTCCCATATGTGTATACAAAGGGTTATCTATTTCGTGGTTTCCGAAGCAACTGTCTAAAAACACATATTTTATTTTAGTAAAAAGGCAGGCAATTTTCAAAATGTATCGCTGAATAAACGCACAACGCGTTCAAATTGTTAAAACTGACTACAAAAATGGTGATTCAAATGTGGCCACGACTTGGTCTTCAACTTAAATCCATGCAAAGTCCAGCTAACAAAACCGCTGAAACCAGGTGACTCTTTGCAAGGCCGTACGTACGTCGAATGGGTGATTAAAAAAAAAATTCTACAGCAACGAGGGATAGGTTAGTTCAATAGGTTTCACATAGACGATAATACATCTACTGTCTCCTCGCTTTTCTTAAATTTCCTACACTTTTTGTCCGTAGTCAGACCTATCCTGAACGCATGAGACGTCAGAAGGCAATGCCCCGTTAAAAGTCGTATCAGCAGAATGAAGTCTGCTCTCTTAACAGATAGTAACAACTATGTGAGTTTAGTATTGTTTTGTTTTACATGTAGTCTTCGCAATTCTGCAACTATTAGCTCGTTCTCAGAGTCTCTTCGCCTGACGCAGTCTTAGTACTTCTTCCTTATTCTTCACTTCCTTGAACTGGAACGTTCGATGTTGTGTCCTGTTCTAAATGGACCTCATTACTTTCAATGCCCGTGATGTCTTGCACCAAGTAAATATACACTCTTCTGTTTTCAGCCAGTGCTTGAAGAGCTTTGTCTGCATATTTCTATTCTATTCTTGTCATTTACCTCTACTGTAGCTGAAAACAGGTTTCTGAAATTCAGACGCGGTATTAAGTAGTCTATTCGTGTACTCAGGGGTGACGCTGTATTACTATGCCCATAAATCCTGACTTTCAACTGCCAAGAAGCATATAGCCACGCAGCAGATAGTAATGATCTGTTTTTATATACGCTGTTGATGGTGTTGTTCTGAGTGCCCCAGTGATGCTGATCATTGAAAGTCTCAATACTATTTCTGGCCTATACAGATATGTAATTTTGTCCAGAGCTTTCACAATATTAACCAACCGTATAAAAGATCGAGGGATAGGCAAATAAGAAAATTTCTCACGTCGTTGAACAGACACCATTTCTTCCAGTAAAATTTAGTTTCTGATACGCTATTTCGTTCGGAAGTGTGCTTGGACCTTAATTCTTTGAGAACTATGGTGAAACTGACTCTATCAATGTGGGGCTTTATGATCGTATAATGACCGAATTGTTTCGGATAATATGTGGCTTCGACTAGATGGTGTCAAGAAAATTCCCAGCTGCGTAATCTCCCGCCTTGGCGTTATCAATCGCCCACCGAAATCGTGTCATTTGACACCTTTGGACTTTTTAGTGGAACGTGTTTCTGCTTCTACATTTTTAACTCTTGAGCACAAAAGAATGTTGATCTGTCAAGTTATTACTGAGATACTAAAAAGTAATTGAAGATTACCTCAAATGAATTGAAGTTTGCCAAAACTCGGGAGGCGATTCTATGAATTATGGAGAGTACGTCATATAATGAAAAAGTTCAAACTTTTTAACAAAAATTTAATTTCACAAAAAAAGATATTTTAAATGAATTTTATTTTCGAAACCGTAAAATGGATAGCTCTGTATATTGAAAAATCATTGTCATTATATATTTGCGCCGCAAAGCTTGACACACTCTCTCTTCCTCTCTCTCTCTCTCTCTCTCTGTATCTTATCTGCCTTCGAAAAACTGAGGGATTATTAAATTAATATGCCATTTAATTGCAATTTAACTACATTTGTATTTAGCAGCAAGCTACAAATAGACATGCATACATACACATATATTTACATGATCATCTACATTTTATTATAAATATATAATTATATATAAAATATGTATAAACATAAATATAAAAAGGATGATATTGAGCCCTGCTGTATACTTTTTTGAGAAAGAGAAACTTAAGTAGTCGTTAAAACTTCATAGAGACCTCATATGAAGATATACTAGCATATATTTTATTTACATATATATTTATATAAGGCAATATATGCATCACGCAGACCTACACATGTATTTTCCAATAACCGTTTGTGTTTGAAAATTGAATATTGTAAGCAATTTCGTAAAACTTCCTCAATTTCATTAAACACAAATTTGATTGAAAAATTAATGTTCGTACACTTGCCCACACACCAACTGCGTGCCCTATGTGTACTCTGCATGCCCGAAGGCTAAAGTGTCCAGCGTACAACGGCAGCAGTGACCATTTGTGCTGGTTAGGTGTAGCGAGCGTGCATAATGTGTTTATTGAGGGCTGTGGGAGGAGGAATGTAGAAATAAGGCCATCAACAACAGTCCAACGCCGTGGGCTAATGTTTATTGGATGCTTAGTTGGTGTGTTGGGACAGAACTATTTTTTTTTTTGCATCGGACTTGCCATTAAATGAGGAGGTTAAGTATTTTAAAAAAGTTTTTAAAAATTTTATTGTATAATTAAGGTATTAGATGAAAATGTTGCAAAAATAAAATAAATGTATGGAGCAGATGTTTATTGTAAAACTTCTCTACAACTGGTGGACAAATTTTTAAAAAAATATTGTTCCTCATCAGCAGTCGAAAGCTCGATATAGAAAAATTATGGCATTTCTAGAAACAATTTATAAGACAAGCTTTCAAAAACAATGCTTTCAATTTTCTGCTTTTATAGTGAGGTTGAAAGCATAAAACAAACACGGCTAGATGAAAATTTCGTTTGGTTTCTTCAAAAATATGATGATTCTCATAAGAAGCCAGTTTATGAAACCAAAGACCTTTTATCAGATACTCATTCAGATGCTTAGAAAGCATATCAAATGGGCAAATCAACAGAAAACCGCACTACACCAACTGGTTCAGTTGCCAAGTCCTTACATTATAATGATTAAAGTCTAGTAGGTTTCTTGAACACAGTGGAAACTTTTAGTTACTTAATACCACATTCCCTAAGTTCTGCGTGGTTGCATGACAGGCCAAAATAGGCACGCCTTCTCCCCATGCCGTACAGTCCTATGTTGAACTCACATTTTAGTGGAAACGTACATGCCGACGTCGTAGCCTTATCAAATTTATTCGAAGTTTATGATTAAATCACATAAAATTTAGAAAGTATTAACCGTGTAACTTTTCCTCTTAAGTACTAAGTACCAAATTTTGTCAATTGACCGAACAGATTTAAATAAATTTCAGTTGTATCTGGTAGCTAAAGCGAGAAGTCATCCTACAAAAAAAGTTGAGCTATAAAAAGAATATGACTGAGATATATGACAACGTTTTAATCAAAAATGTTCTTAGACCTTGTTAGTCTTGTTAGTCCTTAAGGCTAACCTTCAAAGCACCACTCCAATTGGAGCTCTAATGCAGTCCATGACATCGTGCCTATAACATTTATAGTACGTGAGATGTCATTGCCGGCGGCTCTTCACTTAAGGGAACATAAGGATGCTCCTCGTTCATTTTTCTTTAAATACCTGCTCTAACAGACTAACTGTGGGGAAGAATATGCAAACCAAAAAAAAATATCGTACAATGTAAGCTGGTGTTTTTGGTGATCTTTCAATACAACTCTCATTAAAACTGCCAAATCATTGCAGTTTGAAACAAATAGTCAGGTAGAGACATCTTCAGCTTCTGTAACAGGCAGGCAGTAATAAAATCTATGAGCGATATCACGAAAAAATACAGAAGAACTTAAGCTGTCGCAAGTAGATTTTTTTTCTTCTTCAGCAGATAGCAGGATCAAACAATTTGCAGTGTGAACAGGTAAATCTCGTCATTAATTGATACCAAATAACTAAGTTCTCACTACTACTAAAGAAAACATCTACAAGCGTAACAATCGCTGAAAATACCGGATACTGTTTCAAGGAGACTTATGACAGAAGGCTGAGGCGTTTCTCTAATGACTTCTCTGGCAGCTTCAGAGACGTAGACGAGGAGAAGCTCTATATACCTCTGCCATTCCCTGGCCTAAGTACAACCCGATATCGTTTTCCATGTGATTTCCACTTTGAATACTTTAACTACCTTGCAGATATAGCATCAGCAAGTGTTAGTAATCTCATGTATTTTATTAAACAACCAAGTTTTTTTAAGATTTAGAAAGATGATAGGAACCTTTTTGGCAGACTCCTTTTCTCATCATAGGTTTCACAACTGTCTAACAGGCTTAATATGGGCTCGATCAAAGGACACCATGGTTGAGCAACCTAAATAACTTACGAACTAACTTCTTCATAATTGACATTAGATGATGAAAACATCTAATTACGAATATAATAGTGTTAGAGGCAAGTGTATACCGATTTCCGTTATCGGCGTCGGCTTTATGACGGTTCGGACTTTCACTGGTTTTCGCTTGGCGTTCAGTTGAATTATTAATTTATCCTGTAGGTATACGCATTGGTAAGTTGGGCGGAAGGTGCGTTGTTACCTGAGTAGGTTGTAAACAAAAATTCGAGGCAATCTTGGTTCGGATAGAACCGACGAAAGTGCAATTTTTAAAAAGGAGGAGACTTCTTTGGGTGATTTGGTTTTTCACGGGACACTGCTTCATAGAACAGCATGCAGATAGGTTTGACGTCTCTCGCAAAAGATGCTGTAAGGACAGGAAAGAAAAGTCGAGCAAACTTGGCCCAAATGAGACCGACGAAGTTAAAATGGCTTACATTTTTTAAAAAAAAGAACGACACTTAACACGAAATTTTCATATTGAGGTAACATTAATTTATAGAACGGCATGCAGAAAGGTTTGGTGTCTCCTTCAAAGGATAATGTAGGAGCTTCAGGTACGAAGAGGAGGATGAGATGATTTTGTATTTTATTGAAATTTATGCTCTTTACATAACTTTCTTCTCTTTAATCGATTTACATAAAAATAAAAACAAAAACATTTAAATTAAATTTAAACTAATTACCTTTAATGCATTTAGAAAAGATGGAATCTGGAAATATAAGAAATATTTATATTTAATAAAACTAGATTTTATTAAAAACTAAATATATATACACGTACAAATATGAATATAATTTAATATTTTTTTTTGCTTTTAAAACACTAGGGAAATGTTTTTTTTATGATTTATGATGTTTAAGCTACATTTCTCCGCACTAAGCATTATTTACACATGAAAAGGATTTTATTTTTATTTTTACTTCAAAACTGACAGCCACAGAATTCAATTAAAATTGTAACACGCTGCTGGCTGGTCAGTGTGAAATTAGTATTTACACGCATGGAAGTTGTCAAAATGTGAAAATCAAAGTTCATTATTGATTTTTTTGGTTATTAAAAGAGCAGTAAATAATCCGAACGATATTAAATTCAGGTAATAAAAAATATTCAATATTAATTATTGAATATGAGCTTATTTTTGTATGTATTTGTAGATGTTTTTCAATTTTTAAAACGTAAAATTAAATTAAATTAAAAAAAAGTGTTCGCTAAAACCACATTTAAAAAATTTTTTTTTTGTTGTTTTTCTTCTGGCATACATACAAGTATGTTCCATACGAAATGCATAACATTACATAAATAATAAATAAATATGCATAATAAACAGTATTGAAACTACATTGGGAGAAACTCATAAATGCAGCCAATAACAGCGTCCAAGACATCTAATATAGTTCTTTGAATTCGATTCGATTTTGTTTGAAGAAGAAAAGAGCAATGGTTGTGATGATGATGTTGTAGTGGCAATGCCTGTAGTAATTGCCACCGGCATCAGGTGTACTGTAAATAGAACTAATAACAACGTATTTGAATAGAGATATGTACCTCAATGTCACACACACGCCCATCCATATATACAAAAATACGCATATACTCTCCTCCAGCTTTACCATGCTGCAAGCTGAACATTGTTGCTTGTCCAAAAACTTGGTTTTCTCTTCTGGTTATTTTGACTCACCAGCCAATGACGACGTCCAGCAGTTTTAGTCTACCGACACAGGACACCAGTTAAACCGACCGACCAGAACATGTGTGCTGTATGTTGGCGATAAGGACATTTCCATGTAATCATGGATGAATAATTGGATTTTGAATCTCAGCTGGTGACTGGTGAGTGGTCACAATGCGGGTGTATGCATTTCTTGTGTGTTGTATTTGAACAAGTAGGTTTGTGTGTGCGTGCATATGAGGATGTATGAAGGTGTACAATAAGCTCATGGGATTTAAAAGATCATAGGCTGTCGGAAGCGTTTGTGGGGTGCGTATGATTACATGGAAAATATAGCAGGGCTTACAATATTCACACTGCGCGCCAATATTCATATTTCGGGATTAAGGGACACGAATATTGTACATATTATATATATACTATATATTATTATTATATATTCTTTTCTATATTTTTTTTTTCTAAGAAACACAAAAATTAATTTTCCTAAAAATTCTGACATTTTCTATATACGCTAAGCAAATGACGATTTGGGGTACAACAATCCAATGATAAATCAATAAATTATTTAATTTATTTCTAGTTTCAGTCAATTTAAATTATTTTAAATTTTTTTACTTAAATTTCCTTTTGGTTTTATTTTATTTTTTGTTCTATTAGATATTATTTTTTTAATTTAATTTAACAAAATTTTAAAATATATATTGGGTGTATACATTAATTCGTTCGTTCGAAAATTAAGACTTTATTGTGAAAAATTGGATGTATCTCAAAAGAATTTCTCCGGCTTGGAGGTCAAGAAAGAATCGAGCCAATTTCTGGTACCCTCTTCTGAAGTAGAGCGTATTTCCGTGAGGGCATTGTGCATTGTTCTGAACAAGTGGTAATCGGAAGGTGCTGTGTCTGCTATGTCCCATAGTTTTTCAAATAGTTGTTAACTGGCCTTGCAACATGTGGCCGAGGGTTGTCATGATGAAAAATTATTGAAAATATGAACACGACGCTGGTAGAGACCTCTCCTAGAAAACCGCACGAATTAATGCATACACCCAATATTTTTTATCATTTAATTTTTCAAATAATTTAATTAATAACAAATTTAATTTTAATTTATTTTTCTTATTCTAATTAATTTATATTTTTTTATAATTTTATTTTAGTTCATCAAAGTTTAGTTTAACTTAATTAAAAATCTTTCAATTATATTTCATTTTATTTTGTATATACTTTTTATTTTATTTGATGTTATTTTATTTTGATTTCCTTTATTATATTCTTTTTTAGTTTATTTTATTTAATTACTTTATTTTTGTTAACATAATTTTATTTGATTTTGTGGATTTTTTTTTACTTTATATTAATTTTATTCATTTCTATTTTCTTAATTTGTTTATTGGATTTTTTTATTTTACCTTAATTTAGATTACATTTATTTTATTAATTTTTTTGATTTATTTTATTTATTTCATTTAATTTTATTTTTTATTTTTTTTATTTTTTATTTTGTAAATACTATGTATATAATTTATATGAGCTTCGTTTGGCTTTTATTATTTTTATTAAATTTAATTTAATTTTTTTATTTCATTATATACTTACAGTACCTTTTTTAATATTTTTAATTTTATTTTAGTTTATTGCGTTTCATAATTTTATACGTTTTTCTAAATTGGTGAGGCCTTTTATTTAATTTTATATAATTTTTTTTACTTTTATAAATTTTATTTATTTAATTTTTTAATTTGTTTATTAAATTTTTTATTTTACTTTATTTGTTCTATTTTATTTTAACTTAGATTACTTTGTTTTATTTTGTCAATTTTTTTGTTTTATTTTATTTATTTCATTTAATTTTTATATTTTTAATTTTTTAAATACTACGTATATTCTTTATATGAGTTTCCTCTAGTTTTTATTATTTTGTTTTATTGATTTTTATTAAACTTTATTGCTTTTGCTTGGATTTTTCGAAAATCGTACTAACATCTTATTGGCTGGACGGGTGCCGAATATTAATTCAGAAATAAAAATCCATTGTGTTTAATTTACAATTGTTAATTGGTTTGTTTTTACAAGTAAGACAAATAAACTGAGTTGCAAAATACTATTGTATAGTTGTATATAATTGAATAGTCAAGTCCATTTATCTTTTAGGAACTCAGTAATAATTATATGGGTAGAAGTAGTAGAGTTCAGTTATTTAATGAAAATATTAGTAGGTGATCTCCGAAATATAATTTTTTCATATAGGTGCTAAGCTTTTTATAAAAGGCCATCAGCCACTAACAGCTGTCGCTGAAGTTCTCCGTATTTTGAAGGAGACATAAGTCATTCCAAAACTTTATTCTGTCCAGTATGAAAGTTCCTTACAGAATATGTAGTAAGCTAATGAGCGAAGTATTGTTTTGTTGAAATCTAGTGTCGGAAAGAGTCGTAAAAAGAAGGGTTATCCGCATTTTTATGATATGTGAAGGCAAAAAATTCTAGAAAAATCTGAGTTTTTCGAGTACTACATACAAAGATATATGCATATGTATATATGAGTAAGCAAATATAAGCGTCAAACACTCTTACAAGGCCAATATTCAATAAAAGCCGCCAAAAAGTTAGCTAAAGTCTATTTGGGTACGATGATACTCACAGATTTTACGAACGCACTCTCTGAAATATATATTCACATACCTACATACATGCATATATGTACATATATGCACAGAGGCATACAACAGCTTTTCGCCTACGAATAGGAATTGGCTTCGTTAAGCAAATGTTAAGCACAATTGCATATATGCTTGTATATATGTACATGCTGTAAAATAAGTAAAGCCTCAATATATTCGTGCATGTACCTGTCTCGTTGGCTCAATCTATTTTTGCATGCAGCCCGGTTTATGTGCAGCACATATGGAATTTATTGATTGCACACACGCAATTTAGACTCCATGACCATCCAAACCATTGTCCGTTTACCGGACACATACACGAAATACCTATATGTGTACATATGTGTGTTTATAAGTATTGTAAGGCGCTCTTTATGCATGCAAATGTAAGTAAGTTACAACAGAATGGTTCTATTGGTACCGTACCAACTTTGTATATGTACATATATAACCGTATGTTTGTAAATGCACTTGTATGCTCATTTTGTGCGTTTATTTGCATGCACGCTGAAATTTTTTAATTAAAATGCAAATATGACCTGACATTTGCTTAACGCATGCAATGCATTTACTCACATATGCATGTCCACACATATACTGACATGTAAAGTACACATACAGATATTTATACAACGATGTCTGTGCATTTCCGTGCATTTTGGCAATAAACGCTTGCATGTAAATGAATATGAGTATAGTATGTATATTTTTGCGTTTGACGTGGCGTATGAGTAACCAGGAGTGCGTTTTAATTTCCTCCTTTGTTCGAAATTTTTCTTTTACATTTTTTATGGCAGCATAAATGAAGTTGTTACTATATTACAGCAAACCAAAGCCTGTAAAGAGCTGATGCGTGGTTGAGTAAATGGTAGTTAATTTTTGCTCATAAAGAAATGCAGTCGTTTAAAGAGTATTAGAAGCACAAACTAGATTGTCTGCCTATTTTGTCATTTTGTATATATATACAAAATATATGTACACGTAACATGAGCCTTACCTTGAAATAACCTTTCGCTTCAAGTTCTTTGGCTGAATAACCTGTAGCTAGTTTTGTAGAACAAAAATTATTTTTGTTTACTCTTTCTGAACTTAGACCTTCCTCGCCAGTTTCAATATTAGTTTAGAAACAAATATTACGCCTTTCTATTTTCTCAATATATTTTTCAAAATAAAATAAGCTGAAAAAAGGGAGCTAAAAATAAATAATATAAAATACATGAGAGAATCTAACTAAAATAACTAAGTCAAAACAAAATAACTTAAATTTTTTTTAATTAAGTAAAATAAAACAAGTTAAAAAAATAAAAAAAAAAATGAGATATTAATTGAAAAAATTTAATAAACAAAATAAAATAAAATAAAATAAATGTAAAGATAATTAAAACAATATAAAAATATATTAAATTAAATTCAGATCAATTATAATAAATAAAATAAAATTGATTGTTAAATATATAAAAAAAATATATAATAACAAATCTAACAACATAATTTAATAAACAAAATAAAATAAAATAAAAGAAATGTAAAGATAATTAAAACAATGTAAAATTATAATAAACTAAATTCAGATCAATTATAATAAATAAAATAAAATTGATCATTAAATATATAAAAAAATAAAATATAATAACATATATACAAATGAAATGAGTAACTCAAAATAATATAATAAAAAGGTAAAATAGCATAAAAATTAATTAAATAAAGCAAATTATTAAAATATAATAAAATAAAACGATTCAAAATTAAATAAAACAAAATAAACAAAAAAATATAATATAATAACATAAAACGAAATTAAACAGCATAAAGAAGAATGCAATAAAATTAAATTAAATAAAAAACGAATACAAATTGAAATAAAATAAATTAAAATACTATAACTTAAAGTGAAATAAAAAACGAAATAAAATGAAATGAAAATAAGTTAAAATAAATCAAATAAAATCAGTTACCATAAATAAGTGGTGTAAGTTAAAATATTTAAGTTAAAATGTATAAAATAATACATAACAAAATAAAATAAAATACAATAAAACAGAGTGAAATAAATTAAATGATTTTAAAAGCAATAAAAACTAAAATAAAAAAATTATAATAAAACAACTTCAATTGATACAAATGAAATAAATTAAAATAAAGCATATAAATAAAGTAAAATAAATAAAATAAATTAAAGTAAAAGTAAAAGAGTAAAAAAATAAAGAAAATAAACTAAAGTAAAATAGTACAGTAAAATAAAGTAAAAAGCTGAAATAAATAAAAAAAATAAGCTGAAATGAAATAAGAAAAAATAGAAGAAAATAAAATAATAATATAACATAAAATAAAGGGAAGAAAACTTAAATGAATAAATAAAGTTAAGTAAACTGAAGAACAATGAAAAATCTTTAATGAAGTAAAATAAGTTAATGCGAAATATTTGAAAGAAAAATGAAGAAATAAGAGGAGAAATAACTTTAATGAAAATAATTAACATTAATTAAAAAAAAATTTATAAAAATAAAATTAAAATAAAAAAAGAGACAGAAGCAACCTCCGAATGGCCGATGCAATTGAAAAAATTAATTAATTTTTTTACTCTAAGTTCATTTTCTATAAATGTGAATACTGGTCGGTTCCAACCCTGATCATCCACTAACATTCTGATGCTCATCACTCAGCTATTGCGGCGTCAGTTTATCAAATCTGATCGTATCGTTATACATTTCGATGTATAAAATGAAATACATAAATAAAGATATAAAATATAAAATAAACAAAAAAATAGTAATTAAATGAATATAAATTAAATAAAATTAAAACTACAATAATTAATACAAGAAATTATATAAAATTAATATTAACCAAATTAAATAAATAGATATATATATATATATATATATATATATATATATATGTGCTTGTATGTCTGATAATATTTGATTATTTATAAACAAAAAAAAAACAATATAATGAATTTCTCAAGTGTACAAAAATTTAATATAAATCTGTTTTATAGAAGTTTTTGTTAAAAATATCGACTCAACTACTATCTAGCATATTAAATTATTCTCTATTAAAATTTTTTGTATTTAAGGCAAACAGTTATGACTAGATTTAAAGGATTTGTAAAATACATTGACACAATTTCAATTTTTGGCCCATAAAAATTTATTTGCCTTCGAATCTTAAAGATTAGAACAGATTTCAAAATTCGTTTGTCAAAGAAATTTTCTGAAATATCTTCTAAATGAACATACAAATAATCAGAAAATACTTAATATGATTTATTACAAACACATGAATACTCTAATACAGTTCTGATTTGTGTGTTATTATGAAAAAAGAAAAACAGTGCAAAAATTTTGTTACCACAGAGAACTTAAAAATTTATCTGAACGAATAAATGCGATTCTTTGCATAAAATATTTGTGTATTTATCAAATTTACTAATTAGAATTCACAATTTTCCCCTCTGCTACCACTTGCGCAGCCGGACGCCCTTTGCTGCGTATATATAGACCAGCACGAAAATTTGTTTTCGGTATATAGGCAGGCAAGATAGATTCGTTCACATAAAAGTCACTAATGGTATAGTTGAAATTCTGGTAAAATTAAAAAGCAAAAAAAAAAAATCTAAAACATTACACAAATCCAATCCTTGTACTTACTGTCCTCAAGGGGCAACGTGGTCGCTCATTAATCGCCGCATACATTATTCTCAACATATTATCCAATATCTTAATTTCGTGCTTGCCTTTAGCCAAAAGTGCACAACAATCAAGAGTTATATTGAAAATATTTACACGTTGGCCATTTGTTCGATAAATATCGAGTATTGCACTTGCTTCGAGTTTTGATATCGACTTACGGAACACCAGCCAACCCGAACTGTATGTGTGGTTGTTTCGTTGCTTGAGATGACATTGAAAGCCACTGATGGATTCTGGTACTGTATGTGTACATTTGATGCGTGTGGCGAGTATGCGAAAGTTTCTATTAGCGCTATCTGCATTGCTCCTGGCTTTGAGCTGAGATTTCCCCGCACAAATGAAGCTTATGGAGAGACTCAGCAGCAGTAGCATTAAATTACAAATGTTGAAGCTTTTATTATTTGAAAAATGCATTTTTTTTTACTAAGCCCAAGTATCAAGATGTGTGTACAATCAACTACTGACGTGTTTTGGGAAAATTTTTGCGTTTTTGATTTATTTAAAAATTTTTAAATAGTTTGTATTTCGTGCCGAAAATTGTTTGTTATCTCAATTTGAAATCTTTGGCATAGAATTATTGATACACATTATTTTTTATAATATACTGTTTTAAGGGTTGTAGGCATTGAAACTAGGTCGCATTAATCGAGCAGTGGAAATTACGATACGGAGGGTTCAAATTTTAAATAGAGCCACATTCAACGATATAAAAAATTTATGGACCTGGTAATCATCATATCGTCGTAAATCTACGCCTTCTATTTGACTTCATAAGTAGCTCAAATCTGAATGCCATTTATTTGAAAATATGAAATTTTTTGAAACCAATATTTTCCTGCTCTTAGAAATCCGATCAAATCTTGGGATAAAAACAAGAAAGAAATTTGCTGATAATTTTTCAGAGAAACTGACTTAAATTTTCAGTCTTTGCGCCTTCCACGTTACCTTGCCGTATCTGGAAGCTCCGCAATATGACAACAATATTTATCAACCACAAACAGAGAAGTTGCAAGCTTGATCCAAACTAGATTAAAACCCGAAAAGCTTCCCATTTTCGCCTTGACAACTGGTAATTTTTAAAAAATTTATCCAAAAATCATTGAAAAAGATAACATCAATATTAAAAGATTGTTTAAATCTCAGACACATCGCAATGTCACGGTAGGTATCCGAAATCATTGAGTTGGAAAGGCACGGGAAAATCCTGCTCCTTCGTCATATCGTCCAAACTCTTTGCAGCCTACATAGTCTAAGCAACTAACCGTTATTCAAGTAGTAGTCCTTTTTTTCAATAACCCTTTCTTCACAGATCGCTCGTGAGTCGTATCAAGCAGTCATGTTATTTTAGTTCAATATTGTTCGACATTTCATCATGGAAATATCTACGTCTGAACAACATTTACAAATCTTTCAACTTTATTACGAAAATTTACGTTCCTTAAAGAATGTGTTTCGCGCGCTTCGCTCAACTTTAGGTCAACATAATCGACTTACTGAGCATACTACTCGCAACATCAACACCCATCTTGAGACCCAGCATTCAAGGTCAACATAAAGCGATTTAATAATTTCCATTTCATCCATCGATTAACCACCAAGGTCGTGTGATATTACACCGTTAAACTTTTTCCGTGAGGGAAATGTAAGTTCCAAAGTCTTTTCATCGACATATATAACCGCTATTTCGGGATCAAGACGATCTAGGCATCTTCCATGCTACAGCCAATGAAAACAGGTTTAACTCAAGGAATTATTCCTGTACCGCTTCTCTATATCCCCTTACCAAATATTTTCTCACCACGCTGTATGCCCAGCTGAGCTGGAAGAAACAGACACAAAAAAAAAGTGGCTGAACTGAACTTGAAATGTAATAAAAATTGCTGGCAAGGAAGTAGACGCATTCTTTAAAAAAAAAGAGAATATTTAGAATTCGATTTGCCAAGTTTTTTTTTTTTAAATTTTACATTTCTCTAAATGGTCATTTGAGGTATTTTAGTTTCCTCGAAGTTTTTTTTTCTGGGTTAACATGTGCATTTAATATGTTCTGTTTTGAGAAGAGATCCTTTCAAGCTCCCAAATATATTGGGTTGCCCAAAAAGTAATTGCGGATTTTTTAAAAGAAAGTAAATGCATTTTTAATGAAATATATAATTGCCATTTTGTTTGATAACCTTTTGCCATCTTCCTGGCAAATTTAGTATTCCACGCTCATAGAACTTCTGGCCTTTATCTGCAAAGAAAAGAACCAAGTGCGATTTTATAGCCTCATCATTGCCGAAAGTTTTACCATTTAAGGAGTTCTGCAAAGATCGAAATAAGTGGTAGTCTGATGGTGCAAGGTCAGGGCTATATGGTGGATGCATCAAAAGTTCCCAGCCAAGCTCACTCAGTTTTTGGCGAGTGAACAAAGATGTGTGCGGTCTAGCGTTGTCCTGGTGGAATATGACACCTTTACGATTGACCATTCTGGTCGCTTCTCCTTGATGGCTGTATTCAGTTTGTCCAAGTGTTCACAGTAAACATTTAATCGTTTGGTTCCTTGGAAGCAGCTCAAAATATACGACACCCTTCCAATCCCACCAAACAGGCAGCATAACCTTCTTTTGGTGGATCTCAGCCTTTGAAGTGGTTTGAGCTGGTTCACCATGCTTGGACCATGATCGTTTTCGACTAACGTCCATTTTTCATCTCCAGTTATGATTCGTTTTAAAAACGGATCGAATTCATTGCGTTTAAGGTGCATATCACAAGCATTTATTCTTGTGTTAAATGAATTTCTTTCAATACATGTGGTACCCAAATATCAAGCTTTTTCACCAGTCCAAGACCAGTCCTATCTCACGCTCAGTTACATGACGATCCAATTCGCTTAATGCTTTGATTTGGTCATCATCAACTTCATTTGGCCGACCTGAACGTGGCTCATCTTAAAGGAAAAATCTCCAGAACGGGATTTGCGAAACCAATTTTGGCACTGTCTTCCTTTTAAGGCTTCATCACCATACACATCTCGTAACTTTTTAGCAACCTGCTCCGCGTTTTTTCCTTTACGGAAATAATAAAGTAAAATATGACGAAAATGCTCCTTTGTGGACTCCATATTAAAATTGACGCCAAACAAACAGCTGTAAACAAAATTTCGGGCACTTTTTTCTAAAGCAAGCTAAAAGTAACATCTGATAACTGACCGAAGAAAGAATGCAATTTCCGAGTCACAAGCCGTTGAAAAAATTTTTCAACGCCGACTATATGAAAAATCCGCAATTACTTTTGGGCAACCTAATACATTACATTCAAATATGTAGGTATTTATATTCTTTTTCTGTGCATAGGAACGTTTTATATGATACTCGAAAGGATTACGAAAAGTGAATCAGAGACCGCCCCTTTCGTAAAAATTTTATTTATTGTTCGAAGTTTTGTGTTTTCCCAAGGAAGTGGAGTGGATTTTTGGATGATATGTCTAAATGACAGAAATTCATTTTGCGGTATGGACCAAGAACAGAAAATTAAGCACTTTTGTTTCACGGAAATTGATCAGGGGCTAGAAATCATATGACCTAGCCAGCATAGCGGCTGCTTCGTGATTCGTTGAACTACATCAATGTCGCCATATAACCCGTACAGCTAATCGTTCCATCATCTGCGATATTCGCCGTTGTCAAGCGCAAAGGACCAAAATCGTACGCAAAATTTTTCTCTTTAAAACTATTAACGCTGACTCATCAGATGTTGTCATCGCCGTTGCTTCCGCAACATCTTCATCGGTATGGGCTGGCTAGAGAAGTGTTTCCTCTCTCCCTTGATCACCTAGGGCTATTAGAGTCTGCTCCGATCTTGAAACCTTCTGTAAGTGGTGGTATCTTCTCACAGAATTTTCGAGCATTCTCAAGCTTATCATAATCACGCATCCCTGCCTCTTTCTTTTTTGTCTGCAGATGCGTCTTGGTTCCCTCTTAAGCTGTCGGTATCTATCCCATCCCGCACGTGTTTTGGCCGATCGTGACGTTGCGAGGTAGGCAGTCTGTTTTCTTTCCACCGCGACGCGGAAGTCTTCATCGTACCAGCTGTTTTTGCAACCTTTACGAAATCCAATAGTTTCGTTTCAGCCATACGTAAGGAGCTTGAAATGCCGTCCCACAGTTCCCGTATACCGAGTTACTGATCAGTGCTATCAGTCTCATGTCGTTGCAGATTTTCGACGTCATACTTTTCTTGTGGCATTCTTCGATACACAAATCTTCACTGCAACAAGATAATGGTCCGAGTCGATGTTGGGTCCTCTGAATGTACTTATGTTAAGAATACTAGAAACATGCCTTCCGTCTCATCACAACATGATCGATATGTTTTTGTGTTTTTCGATCACGGTCAAACAAACTAAACCATAAATATATGAGTTTCTGCACCATATCATTAAATGGAATGGAATTTCAGAAAAATCGAACAATAAATACGATTTTTAAGACTTAGGCTACATATGAACCTTTGGAAATTTTTTTTTTATTCTTACTCGGGCCTTAAAACGACATAAAAGATGGAGCACTCTCTATAAAAATAGATCGTTGAAAAATCGCACAACGCCTTCAAATTGTGAAAATTGTGATTCAAACGTGGCCACGTTTCGCGCTTTGAGAGGACAATTCGATAAACCTGAGAGAAACTTGAGGGAAACTTGCGGAGACTGGATCGGTAACAAATATTGCAAGACATATTGTGCATCATCGTTTAGCTCGCTATAGCTCAAATATCGCTACTGTAAGTGACAGAGTAGCTGAAGACCCGAATTTTTCATCCTGAAACAAGTCGAGGGGCCATTATGCTCGAAGAAAACTTACTGTATAGTACACTCTTTGGTTCGGAGTTGAGATTGGATCTTGTTTCTTTGAAAACAACAACAGCAAGACTATAACTGTCAATTTGGAGCATTAAAGTCATATGATAGACGACTTTTTTTTTGAACTGCAGTTGAAGTACAAGACCTGGACAATGTGTGGTCCCAATAAGATGGTGCCACATGCCACACAAAACGAGCCAATATGGCGTTATTTCGAGATTTTTTTCCGGAAATTGGTGACTTAGCGATGCCACAAAAAAAATTAATTTAAATGAGTTTTATTTACGTGCTTTTTGGAAACCGCAAAATGAATAATGGTGTATAATAATCAGCTGATTTGTTCTGCAAATAAACTTTTTGAATTCTCGACACTAAATCAGCAGCTGTTCATAGTGACTCAGCTGCGTAGCTAAGATTCCGTTATATAATAAGGCAGATAGTCGTGATCCGTGTTTCGCTATTTATGCTTAAGCCAGACTCAATGAACACAGAGTGGAGTGATTATATGCAATTAATATTTCATACAATACAAATTTTTCTTAATATATCACGAATAGTGATTTTGGATTCGCATAAAACTCAGTTATTTTTAAATATGTTAAATTATTACTTTTTAACCGAGCTCCTTTCAATTGGTCAGATAACCATCAAGCACAAGACTGGCACTCTGACGTCCTTCCAAGCGAAAATAGACAGCAGCACGAAATTTAGCTTTGGGTAAGAAGGCAGGTACTTTACATTTGTTGATATCTAAAGCCGTGACCGTGTAGTTAAAGTGCTGCAAGAGTATTTCATAAAAACTAAAAAAAAAATATTTTACCATTTAATTTGCGCCCACTCACCGCTTTCAATGGACAAACTGGCGCTTCATTAACTGTTGCGTACATCAATTTCAATATATTATCGACTACGTAGATGTCATGCCTTTTAGCGGCCAATACTGCACAACCATCTGTTTTTATATTAAAAATATTCACACGTTGTCCATTTGGTCCATAAATATCAAGTAGACTATTAACATCCAGGCGTTCCAGTGGCTGACGAAGTATCAAAGAGCCATATAGATAGGTGCGATTGTTATGCACAGCCCTTGAACATGCCACCGATTCCACAATATGTGCCAATTTGTGTGCGCAAGTGAAATTGGTGACAACTATGTTTGCGATTTTTAGTTTATTTTTCGGATCCTTAAGCCGCTCTCCTGTCACGGCTGAACAAAAGCCAAGGATTAGTAGAATGATTGTGTGGTCATAAGTGAATTTAAACAACCACATTTTGAAGTACTTAAGACTGGTGTTCTTTTGCTTCAATGCACAAACGAGTACTGTAACTGCGCATGTGTGATATTTATCGTTAGATTTTATTAATAACTATGGAATGATTTTCGGTATGTTCATGTAAATGATTATTAACTGAATTTTTGCTTGTTATTAAACACCTATTAAATATGAAATAATTTATAAATAACGGTATGTAATTGCATGTGGTTTGGTTGTGCAATTATGTGCATGAAATCCGAAAGAGTTCATATTTTCAGAGCATCAGCGTGACAGAAGACGAAGTGTGGAGAAATTCAAAAATCAATTTGCATATGAGGAATTATATTTATTTTTTATCTCGTTTCAAATTTCAAATATAATGGCTAATTGTGCTAGTTATATATAGGCCCGATGCTGGAAGAGGGTAGACTTGTATGCAAAATTTCAAGTTAAATACCACTATTTTGAAGATGAAAGCATACCAACAGCTCACAAGTAGCGGGTGTATTAATACATTTCTACTATTTTACTTTGTTGTATAACAAAAATATTCAATTCATATAAACAAACCAAGCCGTCAGCTCACTTATAACAAACCAATTTTTGTTTTTACTTTCTTCGTTGAAATAGAAATTCAACATGCCAAATACAACTAGTATTAAGCTGTTGTATAGTCGGACAATTACCAGCTCATAAGACATCACCATGTTGAAAATACCAGTTTCATACACGGGAAATAGTTTGAAGATGAACTAGTTAGTTCAATACTGTATACCAGTTGGATTCTAGTTAACAGCTAGTATTTTTCTCTGCAGAGCTGCGCTGATGGCATAGCTGCAGCCTATAGAGGCAAGTTTTCAAAAAATCCGTGCTCTAATAGCATAGATTCTGTATTCAGTGTTCAGATCCCCTAAGTCAGATAGGTAAGGCAAAATTTTCAAAAGCCATCTTGAACAGTAAACTAAGCCAGAAAACTTCATATTACTCAGTTGTATATATTGTACTTATTTCGGGCTGTGCTTAAGACGAAGCAGGGGCAGAAGTAGTGTATCACCGTCTGCGTCTCCTCGTGCCCTGTAATTACACCAGTTATTATGTCATGGATATTCTATTTAGTTCTTTTTGTATCGAGCAATAATGGCGCTTTCTGTCTACACACATTGCATACGGTTTTTTCGGGCCAGATGAGGGAAGTATGCTCGCATCGTATGCAGTATCCCTTTCTTGCTAGCTCTTCGAGCTCACAATTTCCTGGATTATCATACTACCAACCAACATAGGCAGCTACATTTCTACTTAAGATACACGCTCAAACTCTGCGACACTGATTCCTGGCAGGGAATATTAGGTAAACAAATAGTTTAAGCGTGATGGTAGAGTGGAAGACTAAAATATCATACCGAACTGGCGCAGATCGCTTCTGCAGATCACTGAACAGAAAACCTCGTTTAGGTCACTGAGTCATAGAAAGAAACTCTTACGGATAGAGGAGCACATTAGTAATCCTTTAGCTACATACTTCTACTAAGCAAATATTTCCATAGGCAAACAGCGTTTAGATGGGATCTAAGCTTGATTTCTCCCAAGTCGAGAAAAACCAAGCCGGAAAAGGTATAACGCTTTCCATTCCTTGAAAAAGGTGGTCATCTGAAACATAAATGGAATTCAAACTGAACATTGCCTAATAGAACGTCATGCAGAAAGACTACAGTCAATCCTCACTCAGAAGCAGCTGTAGGATCTGCAGGAATTGTGTAAAAGGTAGGCTTCCACTTTTATGGATACACTTTGCCATGTAGCATGAATTAAAATAAGTGACCTAATAATATTCATAGGGGATTTCAGGGGGATGGAGTAAATACTTCGTAGTATACCAATATGCATTTTTACGAAGCTTTTATAAAAGCACAAACTAAATGCTTCGAGCTTTTGAGGAGGCAAGAGAAATCTCTGGTCACTGACCAACAGCCGGATAAATGCAACTTAACTCAAGTTTTTCAAACCGTGGACCATTTAAACTTTAAAATAAGTCCTTGGAAAGGGTTACTAACAAGTGATACAAGATAAGAAGCATTATGAACTTGTTTTACGATTGTCACTCAATTGGTTCTAAGTTATCTGCCTCAATACCTCTATATCCGTATATAAAAATGTAATCATTCCACTAATTGCTATTCAAAATCCAAAATCCAAAAGCTAAATAATATTTAATTATCTAATAATCATTTGCACCAAACAAGTTTATCGCGTCATTTTATATATAATTTTGTTATTTTAATTATAATCAATTATGTGCTAATTACATACAATAAATAATTGATTTAATGCTATAGATTTACAAATACAGCTGTATTCATATAAAACGGCACTTACGAAACTTTGCAACCACTTATAACTGGAAAAGCAAATCAAAGCCGAAACTACAAATTTAGTTTGTACAGACAAACCAATACACAGACATCACAAATACCAATACATACAGAAATAATCAAATATATAGCCGATTATTCAAATGTTTGTGTTTTGTGGGCGGAAAATTGGTGAAGTAATTAGTGTAAAAGGATATACGGAGAAATATTATAACGCTATGAATTGAAATTAGAGGAATATGAGAGAGTACATGAATTTTTAAATTTTAGTTTTAATGTAAATACAAAATGAAATCGCTGATTCCAATATTTTACTAGATTTTTTTTTTTTTTGATTTCATTTCATTTTAATTAATCTTATATTATTATATTTTATCTCATTTAATTTTTCAATTTTATTCAAGAAAAATTTCTTCATTTAATTTCATTTTAATCAATTTTATTTTTATTATCTTTTTTCTTAATATTACTTAATTTTATCTCATATCGTATTTTTATATATTAATATTAGATTATAATAATTAATTTTTTTATGTTTTATTTTATTAATTTTTTTTTTAATTTTGTTTTGTATATAATTGGTACTTTGTACACGCTTAAGTGATTTTCGGACGAGCTCCTACTCCAACTTGTAGTTTTGCGTCTTGCTATTATTTTTCCAAAAAATGGAGGGACCTACAGTTTATACTAAGCCGCTTCCGAACAGCTGATGGTTTTTTATGAGGAGTTTTATTTCATGTCAGAAATACACTCGGAGAGGTTGATATTCCCGCAATTAGAAAATTTAACTTAATTTTTTATTTGATATAGTTTTCTATCAGGGTTTAAACCCAAGCCTTCTGAACGTAACGTTTACTACTCGGCTACCGTATTTTTTTACTTATAATTCAATTTATTATATATTATTATTTTAAGTTATTATATATTATTATATTATTTTATTTTATTTTTTAATTAATCAAATTTTCTTTTGTTTTAACTTTATTTTATTTTATTTTAATTAAATTCATTAAATATTTAAATCCTTTTCATTGTATTGTATTTTATTTTACCACATAATTTTCTGTTTTTACTTTTTATGAGATTTATTTTTAATTTTTAATTTTTTTGTTTTAAAAAATTTTGCTTTATTTTAATTTATATATTTTTTTTGGTTTACTTTATCTTATTTAATCATGTTTTTCTATTTTTTATATAAATATTTTTTTAATCTAATTTCACCTCATGTTTTTTATTTTAATAATTATTTTATTTTATTTTATTTTATTTTATTTTATTTTATTTTATTTTATTTTATTTTATTTTATTTTATTTTATTTTATTTTATTTTATTTTAGTTTCGTTTTATTTCTATAAGGTCTTTTTACATATTTTAACATAGGTTAAATAATTTATATTAATTTACTTAATTTAAAAAATAAGTATCTGTAAGTTTAATTTAATAGAAGTGGGTTGAATTAAATTGAAATTTCCTCGAAGACGTCATCATTTGCCAGAGTTTTGTGCGTGTGCTCTCCATTAGCATATGCGCTAAGCAATTAATGTGTAATCTCAGTAGTAATGCATTTATTTATATGTTACTAAATTAATTCAAACTGTATGTACGCTAGGTTTATTGGCAAGATGATAAGATTTCACTTATATAAATGTAATGCATGCTTATTCTAAATTCAGTGAATTTATAGTTTATTTCAGGAAATTATAATTTATATTTTATTATTTTTACAAAATATCTTATACATTTATGTATTTATGTGAGTAGCTAATTCATTAATCTAGTCTTGGGTTCATTCAAGACAAATCACTAATTGCATTTTTGTGAAAATCAAAGCTTATATTTCCGCGCGCTGCCCGATTTCACAGTAACACCACACTTGTTGGAAGCAGCCTTCTGTTCGTCATTTATAGCTTTCATGCTGCAATTTTAATATATTTTGATACATATTTATTGTGATAGAACAACTGGATGCTTACTCGTTAGTCAAACCCTCCATTAGTGCCGTTATTTTTGCCAGTGTTGATTCAATTTCATTTAATCTTCAAAGAAAAAAAATAGCAACACTATTTTTATCAAAGTTAAGGTAAGTTTTCATATGTGCAAACAATCACCTGTTCGATAAACTGGAGTCGAGTTTTCGTAAAATAAAAAAGATTAAAAAAATTACAAAAAAAAAACAGAAATATATGTTTATTGCTTTATTGATTATACAAAATATATAAATATTTCCTTTTTGGTTTTATTTTATGAAATAGTATTTGTGTAAAATTAATTTTTTTAAGTATTACTTCGTACTGAGATTATTATCGGTATCGATGACTTTGTTCAGATCTGCTCTTATGTTGCTCAACTCTTTGCCGCCATCGATGTATATTGTAAAAGCATCGTCACCCACACTAGCGACGATATTAATTATTAAAAATAAACTAAGAACTATAAATAACACGTTTGACATCTTTTGACACATTTTATAAACTGATCGGAAATATTTTACTGCTGTCTCATATACTAAGAGCTGTTCGATTGATTATAATAAATACTAATAATTGTTTTGATCTCATCGGGGAGTAACGCGATCTTCTCACTGAGCACTGATAAGAAGTCACACTAACAATATGCAATATAATTATACAAAAGTGGCAATAGATTTACGTTGATTAATCACAGTATACATTTCAAATGCTACATATGTGAACCCAGTGGAAATTTTTTTCAGTTAAAACCTTGTGGTGTAGAATTTTTTTGAAAATTTTGATCACAGTAAATCGTAAAGATTTTTATATACCAAGTGGCCCAGCGCACTTTAGAAAGCTTTAGATTGCAGCATTTGAATTCTATCTAAGTTATAGTTAGATACTAAGCCACAAAGTTGGAAACGGTACATCAAAACGGCTTTTGAGAACATGTAGCAAGGTAGTACTAAATTTTCTAACCCAAATTTGGACTTACAATCCCTAATTCAATACACATTCGGAACTATAATTTAGTTTGTGTGATTCTTTAAACAATTTATACTAGTTTAACCGATGAATCCTCTATCCAACGTAACCCAAGTAAGTGATAAATTTGATCTCAAATATAGTATGCCATATCAAAAGTGGCAACACCTTTTTCGGCAAGTAGGCCTGGGACCGATCTGCTGAATATTATTATGCCTAATATTCGGAACATATATAGCTTTAATATAAATTAAAATTGGTAAATCTTTTCTTTCAGGATGGAGAACTGAGATCAATCTGTTCTTCAAAATCCATTTTGATGGTTTGACTAGCTGACTCCGCATGCGTCTCCTGCTTGAAATTATGTTTTTTTTTTTTAATGAAAAGAAAGTGGAATTTATATTGTGTAAAAATCATTTATTTACGATTTGTCGTAACTGTCGTCAGTGCATCTCAACGCGAGAAAACGATAGGCATTGAACCAAATCGAACTGATGCGTGCGCACCATATTCAATGTCCAGCTTGTACCGAAAGGCTGCACGCTCGATATTCAAAGCAGGCAATCGTTGTTGTTGCTGGCATTGTTGTTGAGCAGTCAAAGGTTTTTCTTTTGCTTCATAAATTTTCTGAGCAAGAACTTGCCCTCTTCTCAGTCGTTGTGGCTCATTGTAAACTTCGTGAGCCCCTTGTGATTGCCGCGAATGATGTTCAATCATACCGATTCGAGCAGATTCCCTGGCAGTAGAATTTGACTCTTCCGTACGACGTGTTTTATAGTCACGTTGGTCCGTTGTAAGTCGAAACTGATATTAGAGATTGGTGGCATCGTAGCAAATTTCAACATGTTATTGATCACTTTGTATAAAACACACGTAAAGTTTTCACTAAATAATTTTCAATAATTTACCTTATGAATAGCCGAAGTAAAGAAAGAAAAGACCGAAATTTAACGATTCAAATAATTTACAAATCAGATGAAGGAGTAACAAAAATAAATTCCAAGGGAAATAGGGTTAGGTATATTCACCAACCAACAGAAAGTGTTCGCGTAAATAAAATTAAATCCTACAACAAATTAAAAAAAATATATATAGATTTGGGGGAAAAAAATAAAAAAAAAACAAACAACCGAATTTATGCTATTTTGATCAATTTATGACTCAAAATCTCAAATATGAAAAATGGGTTATGCTTTAGTGGTTTCATCTTGTTTTGGAAACGTCAATTCAGTATACTTTTTGCCATGGATCGCTTTGCATCGAAACAACGCGCTGAAATAGTGACACTTTCCAACATCTGACAGATCACCTGATCACGGGTGAGTCGTGTCAAGCAGTCGTGTTATTTTTGTTCAGTATTGCTTGGCATTTCATCATGGAAAGACCTACGTCTGAGCAACGCTCAACTTATGGTCCACATAATCGACTTACGAGCACCCAGAAAAGGATATATAGCGGCCGTAACTGAGAGTGTACACGAAGACCGTGGAAAATCGATTTTGCGCCGTTCGCAGCAACTCGAACTGACGTGTGGAATGACTTGGCGCATTTTACGGCGTTACGGCATTTTACACCTTCGCTTTGCCTTATGGGCTCTTGAAATATTCTCAAAAGATCCGACGATTTCGAGCCGAATTTCGTTCAGCGATTATGCCCATTACTGGTATGTAAACAAGCAAAATTGCCGCTTTTGGGACAAGGAACAACCTGAATGGCTACAGGAGCTGCTATTTCATCCTGAAAAAATGGTTTGGTGTGGTTTGTGGGCTAGTGGAATCATCGGTCGATATTTCATCAAAATTGATGCCTGCGAAAACGTAACCGTTAATAGCGACGGTTATCGAGCCATGATAACCCACTAGTGGATGTCTGAAATGAAAGATCGTCATCTCGGTTTGATATCACACCGTGAGGGGATATGTTAAGTCTAAAGTCTATGCGGACGATCCCGCTTCAATTCAGGCCTTGGAGCAAAACATCATGCGTGTCGTCCGCCAGTTACTAGTGAAAATGCTCTTTAAAAAGTATAAAACCTCGAAATAGGTCACTCTTTATGTAAAAGATTATATTTGCAATTGTTATTTTATTATACTCAATTTGCTTAAAAAATATTTTTGTTTTCCAAAAATGAATTTTTAAGATAATTTGTTTCTTCGTTTGCAGAAGATCTATAAATTATTTAAAGTTGTAGCAAATTCCATATTTACTGTAAATTATATCACAAACATGTGCATATAAACATAGAAATATAATAAAAATATAAATTTTTATAGCTAGATTAATACGTTATGCACCAAAAATATCCAACGGTAGATTTTTACATATTCAAATACGCAAAATTGATTTTGCAAATTCTCACAATACAAATGAGGAAAACAAACAACCAAAATGTAAATGCGTACGCACAGGCGATAAATATAAAATATATGAATAAATACATACACACATATCTATATGTTAATATATATATTTTAACCTATGAATATTCAGCCATGTTTATACATAAGTATTTGCTAGCAAACCTTATGTAAATATATATACAGGAAAACTCATATATTCCTGATATAAAATATTAAAATTATGCATGAGAGGTTAAAATTTTGCGTTTGGGAATAAAGGTGTCACCGGAAAAATCAATGAATTTTTTTAGTATAAATAATAAACACAAATACATAACAAGTGAAAGGTTTTGGGAGTGTTTAAATTTGTCATGTTTTTAATAAATTAAATTTTTAATTTGAAACTATTTTTAAATTCGTTAAAAATATGAATCTTATATTTTAAAAAGAATACTTCAGTAATTATATTACTTAAATAGCGCATTTATATATATAATAAAAATAAAATAAAGGTTTAAAGACCGATGATATTTGTGAAGTTTTTAATATAATAAATTTATCAAATTAAATTAAAATTAAATTTTGAATTTCTAAAGCGATAATTCGAAAAAATAGTAATAAATTATTAAAGATTATATATTTTTAATATCGCATTTTTAAATAAAATTGAACAATTTTATAAACAGCATAACAAAATTATATTAAATAAAAAGCATGAAATAAAATAATATATAAAATAACTTTTTAATAAAAATTCATGTATCAATGATTCGAAAATTATATTTTTTAAATAGTGGATTTTTAAGTGTATTTAAAATCTTTTATGAACAGCTTAATAAAATAAATAGAAATAATAAACATGAAAGGTTTGAAAGTGTTGAAATTTGTGACTTTTTTAATAAAAAAAATTAAGAAAAAGAAATAAAAAAAAAACAATTATGAATATATAAGTTGAACTTTATACTTAATCTTGCTTATACATTTTTAAGTTGATTAACGTCAGAAAGTATAGAAGATTCCAAAACATGTCACTAACCAAGCTATTAAAAAAAACGGCTAAATTAGCGCACTTAATAGTTGTTGGTTAATAATGAATTGAAGAATACAACAATAGTTTATACGGCTCATGTTGGCACAGTGGCAGAGCACTCGCCTGTTAAGTCAGAATCCGTTGGTACGATCCCTGCTGTAAGAAGTCTGATGAGGAGATGTGGTCATCTCCGAAACAGCTATCACTTCTACCATTTTTCTTTGCTGTATAACAAAATATTTAATTCAAACAAACAACCAGGCCTTTAGTTTACTTAATACTTATACAAAAAAATATTTTATAGCATGGCCGCAAAAACAATTATAAAAAAAAAACAGTTTTTAAAATTATTTTGAATATTAAAATAAATATTTCCAAAATTATATAAAATTATATAAATAATAAACATAATATGAAATTGTACTTTTTTCTTTATTTCAAAGTCTTCCATAAAGAAATGTACCAAAAATATTTGGTTCCGGAAGGGCACAGAACAAAAAAATATATATCATTTTTCAGCAGATTGCTTATGCATACACCAACACTCTATTTTATTTACACTGCATATTTTTCAAGCAATGGAAAAAATGTGGAAAACACTTTTAGAGATTTAAAGTGATGCTTGTGCATGCAAAGCATTTTCAAATGCATACAACTAAGCTTATGTGTGTATATCCGTATGTATATGTAGGCAAATTGCAGGTTGTACGTTTGGAAAAAAGCATGCCGTCAATAGCGTAAGAAAGCAACATGCGAAAAGTGTTTTAGAAAAGTACTTGATAAATGTGCATATAAATATATGCATACAAAAAAATGTGTTTTCTCATCAAATACATTTCCTGCAACTACGAAAGTGTTTGTGCATTTTCCGCAGAAATGCTACATATGGTCCGTAGCCGTGTACTTAGGGATACTCGCACAAAGGTAGTATATATACCTATGCTATATCAAGACAGTCTCACATGCCAAGGAAGCAAACATTAGGGCTGCTGCTAACAAGCTGTAAAAGTCATACCAGCAATTCTTGCACACTTTTAGGCGTACTTACAGCTTTTCCAACATGCACAACACTATACACACATATGCTTCTTTGCAGAAAGGGGAATGAAATATAGCTAGATGACGGTTGAAATTTTTCCTGATATACATAAAATATTTTCTAAGAAAAAAACTGGCAAAAAAAAATTTTTGCTAAAGAAATATTGCTAAAAAATTGTAAAATATGTTTCCAAGCAGAACAAAGCTTTTCTATAAAAATGTTGGTAAACAAGCAGCTGTCTTTACGTC